TTGAACTCAGGGCATTTACCTGGTTTGGTAGGCACTCTAATCACTTGAACCATACCCTAGCCCTGACTCTTTTGTGACAATGGAATATATGGAAGAATGAAAGAGAACCTGAAAAATAATCTGAATCACAATAAAAAAAATTTCAGACAAATAAAACCTATTCCTTTTTAAAGCTTTCCAGTGAAGGAAATTCTCAAACATTTTCACTGTGAAATGTTCTCAAACCTAACCCACACCTCTCCAACTGGACCATACGCCTATTTAGATTACTGGGACCCCAGTAAAGAGTATCAAGTTAATGACTCTTATTTAAATGAAATAGGGCACTTTACTGATGTCTCTAAATAATATATTAATGTCTCTAAATTATATATATATACATATATATATATATGGAATACCATAGACTTTCCTGCCAGGCTGATTTTGAACAGTGATATATCTTGGGCCCACTGCCTTTATATATGTGTTTATGTATATGTATATATATATATATATATATATAATATTTATATACACAATATATAAAATGTGTATATAAGCATTTATATACACATTTTATATATTGTGTATATAAATGTTATATTTTACATATACATATATATATGTATGTATGTATGTATATATGTGACAGTACTGCAGATTGAACTTGGGGCTTTGCACCTCCTAGGCAAGCAAGCACTCTAACCACTTGAGCGATGTTTCCAGCCCTCTAAATAAATTTTTTTTCTGTGCCAGAACTGAGCTTGAACTCAGGCTGCATGTTCTCTCTTGGCTTTTTTTGCTCAAGACTGAAGCTGTACCACTTGAGCCACACCATCACTTTTTTTTTCTGTCAGTCATAGGGCCTGAACTCTGGGCCTGGGCACTGTCCCTGAGCTCTTCAGCTGAAGGCTAGCAGTCTACCACTTGAGCCACAGTGCCACTCCGGCTTTTTCTGCTTATGTTGTGCTGAGGAATCGAACCCAGGGCTTCATGCATGCAAGGCAAGCACTCTACCATGGAGCCACCTTCCCAGCCCCTTTGTTTCTGTTTGTTTTTGGTCTGATGTGGGGCTTGAACTCTGAGCCTGGGTACTGTCCCTGAGCTCTTCAGCTCAAGGCAAGTGCTTTACCACTTGAGTCACAGCAACACTTCTGGTGTTTTCTGCTTATGTGGTGCTAAGGAATTGAACCCAGGGTCTCATGCATGCAAGGCAAGCACTCTACACCTGAGCCACCTTCCCAGCCCCAAACCGTCACTTCTGACTTTTTTCTGGTTACTTGGAGATGAAAGTATCACAAATTTATCTGCCTAGACTGGCTCCAGACCTAGATCCTCACATCTTGGCCTCCTAAGTAACTAGGATTATAGGTATGAGTAGCACTTTGTATTTTTTGTTGCTGTTGTTTTTAAATAATTTTTTTTCTTCCCAGATATATTTTCCCAGCTTTTTAATAATTATTGTGGTTTCTTCACAAACTTCCTCCAAAATATGTGTTTAAATATGAGAATTTTTATCTGGGTGTTGGTGGCTCACTCCTGTAATCCTAGCTACTCAGGAAGCTGAGATCGTAAGATCTCAATCTAAACCATCCCCTGATACACTTTGTTGCCAATTAACCACCAAAAACTGAAAGTGGAGATGTGGCTCAAGTGGTAGAGTGCTAGCTTTGAGCAAAAAAACTCAGTGACAGTGCCAAGACTCTGAGCTCAAGCCTCAGAAGTGGCATTTAAAAAAAAAAAAAAGAAGAAGAGGAGCTGGGAAGGTGGCTCAGTGGTAGAGCGCTTGACTTGCATGCCTGAGGCCCTGGGTTCAATTCCTCAGCACCACATAAGCAAAAGGAAAAAAGTCGGAAGTGGCACTGTGGCTCAAGTGGTAGAGCGCTAGCCTTGAGCTGAAGAGCTGAGGGACCGCGCCCAGGCCCAGAGTTCAGGCCCATGACTGGACCCAAAAAATTAAAAAAAAAAAAAAAAAGGAGAAAGAAAAAATTTTAAGGGGAAAATAAAGGTATAATTAACACTGAGATTAATAAAATACCTTGAAGTATGATTTGTAAATTTTTTGATCCCAAAACTCTTTTAACAGAGCAAGAAATAGCTAAATGATATTTCTCAATGATGGGCAAATTTGCACCCCCTCCTCCCCAAATGAACATTTGGCCTGTCAGGAAATGTTTTTAATCTTCAAACTTGAAGCATGTGAAGTGTCCTACTGGCACATAGTTAAAAGGAGCAGGATGCTGCTAAACATTCTCCAATGCACAGGGCAGCCCCCTACAACTAGGAATTATCCAGCTCAAAATGGAAAATCTAAACAACAAAAATAGGAGAGAAACATGCAGAGAAAAGGCAGTGATAGTAAGGGAAAGGAAGATGAAAAGAATGGAAAAAAGAGAATGAGATAAGGGGTAAAAGAACCTTTTTAAGTTTTGGGTTTTTTTTTTTTTTTAAGTATATCACAGGGCAGGGAATGTGGCTTAATGATAAGAGTGCTTGCCTAGCATACATGAAGGCCTCGCTTTGATTCCTCTATACCACATAAACAGAAAAAGCCAGAAATGGTGCTGTGGCCCAAGTGGTAGAGTGCTATCCTTGAGCAAAAAAAGCTCACAGACAATGCCCAGGCTGAGTTCAAGCCCCAGAACTGGCAAAATAAACAAACAAACAAAGTATATCACAATAGTTTCCCTACTATGATGTATTATTTTATAAAACAGCACCAAGCACAGCTTTACATTACTCACCAGTGAGGTGGTTCAAGTCTACTGTAATCTACTGACATACCAGATCCTTTATCTCCAATCTTTAACAATGCATCCATTGCTTATAATGATTTACTCATTCATACAACAACTATTAACTAAGTGCCTACAATATATGTCATGTACTCAGCATTCAACAATGTTATGGGAAAAAAAAAACTAGCAGAAGGATCACAGTTTGAGGCTAGCCTGGGCTAAATAGCAAGTTCCAGGCTAAACACAAAACAAAACACAACTCCTGCCACAGTAGAGCTTACACAGGTGGCAGCTACTAATGCATATGGCTTATTTTTCCTGAATGATTAACTTCACACTTATTTCTCCTGCTGGAGATTCATCTCTTGGCATTTGTCCAATTCCCCAAGTCATTTCAAAATCCAAACTGCCCTTGAAATGGCCATTACTGTCACACTTGCCCAGGCTGACACCAAACAATACATGCAGACATACAAACCATACTAAGCATACTTCCTTTCTTTCTTTCTTTTCTTTTTGGGGGGGTCCGGTCGCCTGAACTCTGGGCCTGGGCGCTGTCCCTCAGCTCTTCAACTCAAGGCTAGTGCGCTACCACTTGAGCCACAGCGCCACTTCCGGCTTTTTTTCTTTTTGCGTATGTGGTGCTGGGGAATTGAACCCAGGGCCTCATGCATGCAAGGCAAGCGCTCTACCACTGAGCCACCTTCCCAGCCCCTAAGCATACTTTCTATGTCAACATTCACAGGGCAGCATTTCTTCAAGCAGGACAAAGTGTTTCAGCTTCTCAAGAGAGTTAAATACAAAAGTATGTAGAAACTGACGTAGTTCCTATTCCTTCCTTAGTACTAAGAAGTCTAACATTACAGCTAAATTTACAAATTTATGACAGAAAGTGAAAGGGAAACACTGTAACTGGAGGATTTATCATCTAAAACAAATCACCTCAAAGAACTCACAAAAAAAAAACCCTCCAACTCAGAAAAGATTAAAAACCAAAATGAAGCCAGGTATAATGGTACACACCTGTAATCTAAGCACTCAGAAAGCTGAGGCAGTAGGATGACGATTTCAAGGCCAATCTGGGCTCTGTGGCAAGAAACCAAATCCAAACCAGAACAGAACAGAACAAATTTAACAACAACAAAAACTATCTTGTGAGCACCACCATCTCCTTCTCTCTTCACTATCTCATAACGAAGGAGTCCTGTACTAGAGACTGTTGGCATAAACTGGCTTTGTTGTGAAGGCATCTTCAGTCTTTAGATAATGAATTTTATACTTAGAGGAAGAATTCTTTGAGTTTTTAATAAAAACTCAAATATCTGGCAAGAGGGAGGAGTCTGATCAGGTACATTTTATGCATATGTGGACATATGTCAAAATAAAACTCCCTTGTAAAACTGATGTTAATTTAAAAATGTATGTGGGGCTAGGTACCAGTGGCTCATGCCTATAATCCTAGCTACTCAGGAGGCTGAAATCTGAGGATCATGGTTCAAAACCAGCCTGGACAGGAAAGGCCGTGAGATTCTTATCTATAATTAACCCACCAGAAAACTGGAAGTGACACTGTGGCTCAAGTGGTGGAGCATTCGCCTTAAGCTGAAGAGCTCAGGACACAAGGCACAGGCCTAGAGTTCAAGCCCCACAACTGACAAGAGAAAAAAAAAGCATGTGGGGAAACCTATCTTTTTCCACTGAATTAAGGTATGAAGTAGTAAGGTTTTCCATGTACTTCCCTGGTATTATATGTTGACCCATCAGTTTTGGATGGCAAAACCATGAAATAGTTTTGGTATTTACTGATACCACTGTGGTACAGGAAACTGCTCAGAAGGAAGAGGTATAAGTCAGAAGGGCATGGAATAAAGTAAACATTCCTCTTGTCTTTGAAGCAATATTAATGAACAACTTTTTCCCAAGGAGGTCCCCTGTCAGCTGCTCTCAGGGGTATACACGTATGGCCCCACAAGGGTTCACCAGGGGCCGAGTTGGAAGGTACAAGAAACAAGAAACCCAAGCAGACGAGAGGAGGGGGTTAGGAAAAGAATGTCCTTAAAGGGGGTTTTAGTCAAGGTACAAAAAAAGACAGAGAAATGGGAGAGTAATATTTCTCAAACTTCACAAGCATTGCAGGAGAATGGAGGGAAGAGAAGGTGGAGGCCTCTACAAATTCACACCCTGTGCCCTCAGTTACAAACACAGTCTAGTTGCTAACAATATTGAATTCCAAAACGACTTGTAATGTAGGAAAATAAAATAAACATCCTGCACACTTACCCAATCCGGGTAAACAGCTTCCCATGGGCATGTAGAAAACTGAGGATGAACCTTTTGTTCAGCTGCATGGGAAAAAGGGAGAGGAGAAAACAATTAAACTTTCCCCAGTTTCCTGTTACTGAACAGAGTCCCCAGTGACACAATAACCTGGCCAGGGTCTAAAGGGGTGGGCACTGGGGATGGGAACCAAATGGACATGCCCAAACTCTCACAGAAACCCAGGGCACATGCCCAACAGCTGTTGCTTAGCTGAGCCAAGACTACAACAGGCTTGGTAAGTAGACAACACCCTCTGCTGGTAGTGGTGCCTCTGTGCAGGAAATGAAGCTGTGAACCAGACCCAACTAACAGAGAAAATAAAGTTACAAGAGCCTATGGCTCTCTGGAATCTAGAAGCCACTCTTCCATAAAGGAAACTCTGACAAGGACAGGATAGTAGTAATTTAGAAGAAATCTTAATCTTATTATTCCTTTCCTCCTCCTCCTCCTCCTCTCTCCTCCCCTCCCTCCTCCTCCCCTCTCCTCCATCACCTCTACCTTCCCTCCACCTCCTCCTCTTCCCCCACCTCTTCCCCTCTCCTCCTCCTCTACCCCCCCCCGCCTCCTCTTTTTTCTTTTTGCTGGTCCTGGGTTTGAACTTTGGGCCTGGTTACTGTCTCTGAGCTCCTTTGCTCAAGGCTAGCACTCTCACTGGAGCCACAGTGCCACTTTTTCTGTGATTTAATTGGAGATAAGAGTCTCAGGGGCTTTCTTGCTTGGGCTGGCTTGGAACTGCAATCCTCAAATCTCAGCCTATTGAGTAACTAGGATTGCAGGCCACTGGCCCCCAGCTATATTTTTTGGGGGGGAAAGGGTCCTCAGTACCTGATGCTGTCACTCATTGGCTAGCACTCTACTAACTGAACCACATCTCTAACCCCCCTCATTTTATTTATCAGTTATTTTTCTACCAACCCAGGAAGACAAAACTCTTCTTCAATAATTAGGGATAATAACTACTAACTAGTTCATCAATTTTTACTTTACCTGCTTTTAAAACTGGAGTTCTAGGGCTGGGAAGGTGGCTCAGTGGTTAAAGCGCTTGCCTTGCATGCCTGAGGCCCTGGGTTCGATTCCTCAGCACCACATAAGCAAAAACAAAAAAGCCGGAAATGGCGCTGTGGCTCAAGTGGTAGAGCGCTAGCCTTGAGCTGAAGAGCTGAGGGACAGTGCCCAGGCCCAGAGTTCAGGCCCCACAACTGGACCCCCCCCCCAAAAAAGTACACTTTCAGTAGGAAATGTGGTTTAGTTGGTAGAGCGCTTGCCTAGTAGGTATAAGGCCCTGAGTTCAATTCCTCAATACCATATTAGCAAAAAATAAGATTAATAAAAATAAAAGGAAAAACAAATTATTTTTTAATCTATTTTCAGAGGCTGGGTAGGTCTCAGTGGTAGAGTGCTTGCCCTGCATGCATGAGGCCCTGGGTCTGATTCCTCAGCACCACATAAGCAGAAAAAGCCAGAAGTGGCACTATGGCTCAAGTGGTAGAGTGTGCTAGCTTTGAGCTGAAGAGCTGAGGGACAGCACTCAGGCCCAGGGTCCAGGCCTATGACCAAAAAAAAAAAAATCTATTTTCATCAAAATAGACCTCTCTGGGCATAATAAAGGAGAAGGGAAAAAATTCAATATAACTCCAAAGAAAGTGCAGGCAAGTTAAAGACTAAATCTTACTTTCATCTTCTATGTTTTCCTAGAAACAGCATGCTCAGGACCCTGTATACTACAGGAAGAAGACTATAAACTTCCATTTCAAGAAGGCAGTTACTAGTGTAAGGAACAGTCCAATAGCCCAGATAGTTCCCAGGGCCCCCAAGGTGAGGGTAGGTCCTCTTCTGGTTTATCCCCCTGCATACCAGAATAGCAGTAAAAATACAGCTGTTCTCAGCTCCATGAGACACTTATTTCAACCACCAAAAAGTAAAACTGTGACTCAAGTGGTAGAGTGCCAGCCTTGAATGAAGAGGCTAAGGGATGGCACACCTAGGCCCTGAATTCAAGCCCAGTACTGCCACCAAAATAATAAAATAATGATGATGATCAAAAGTCTTAACAATAAAAAGAGGTCAAAAGCCAAGCACTGGTGGCTTATGCCTGTAATCCTAGCCACTAAGGTTGCTGAAATCTGAGGATCCTCTGGTTTGAAACCAGCCTGGCCAAGAATGTCTCAAAGACTCTTACCCCCAATTAACCACCAGAAAACTAGAAGTGGCACTGTGGCTCAAAGTGGTATAGTGGCTAGCTTTGAGCACAAAAGCTCAGGGACAGCACCCAGGCACTAAGTTCAAGCCCCACGACCAAGGGAAAAAAAAAAAAGTGAGGCCAAGCTAGGTGCCAGTGGAGCTGATCACACTTGTAATCTTAGCTACTTAGGAGGCTGAGATCTCAAGATTTCAATTCGAAGCCAGCCCAGGTCCCCAGGTTCAAGCCCCACAAATGACCAAAAAAAATGACAGTCGCCGGGCGCTGGTGGCTCACGCCTGTAATCCTAGCTACTCAGGGGATCGCGGTTCAAAGCCAGCCCGGGCAGGAGAGACTCTGAGACTCTTATCTCCAATAAACCACAAGAAAACCGGAAGTGGCGCTGTAGCTCAAGTGGTAGAGCGCTCGCCTTGAGCTGAAGAGCTGAGGGACAGCGCCCAGGCCCAGAGTTCAAGCCCCACGACCGACAAAAAAAAAAAAAAGAGTCATTCTATCTCTCTTTGTTTTGTTTGACTAGGAAATGTCCCTTACTCTACTTTCAACTTTTTGGTAGTTAATTAAAGATAGAGGCTCATGGTCTTTTCTGCCTCGGCTGGCTTCAAACCAGCCTCCTGAGCTACTAGTTTTACAGGCTAACATTACTGGCACCTGGCTCCATCTCTTTTATATGGAAGCTACTATATAAAAAGTCACCAATAACTTCAACTTGAATTTAGTATATGAGCCAAATTTGCCTTTATTTTTGCCCTAAGTGAATTATACTGATCAGCTATTCTAGATTCAAGAATAATCTCTATAGGGCTGGGAAGGTGGCTCAGTGGTAGAGCGCTTGCCTTGCATACATGAGGCCCTGGGTTTGATTCCTCAGTACCACATAAGCAGAAAAAAAAAAAAAAAAGGCCAGAAGCAGCGCTGTGGCTCAAGTGGTGAGCACTTGCCTTGAGCTGAAGAGCTGAGGGACAGTGCCCAGGTCCAGAGTTCAGGCCCCACGACCGGACCCAAAAAAAAGAATAATCTCTATAGCTAAAACACTCAGGATAAGGTTTATAGGACCTGTCTAGCAAGCATGAGGCCCTAGTTAAAAACAAACAAACAAACAAAAAACCCTCAGGACACTTCATTGAAGATTCTTTTTAAGCTGAGTTTGGGATCAAGGATACTAGGTTTCCATTAGCAGAAAGGAAAGATCAACTGTTCAAAATAAATTGTTAATTGGAGTGCTGATGTTAGCAAAACCTGCATTAGAATACAGGTCTCTAGGTCCACTATAGAAGATGGTGAGAAATAGGAACTTTCTCATCAAACAGACTTGTGTTATGCTTATGTTCTACCAACTCTGTCAAGTATTTACCTGCTATGGGATCTCCGTGAATGGATCAAACCTACCCTAAGTCCCACTTTTTCTCCTTTCCTTTCCTTTTTCTTCTCTTTCTTTTCCTTCCCTTAACTCTGCTTCCTTTCCTTCCTTTCCCTTCTTCCCTGCCCTTAACTTCTTCTCTTCTTTCCCCTTTCTTCCCTTCCCTTTTCTTTTTCCTTTCCATTTCCCTTCCTTTCCCTCTGCTCCCCTTCTGCTCCCTGCTGCTGCTGCTGCTGCTGCTCCTCCTCCTCCTCTTCTCCTTCCTCCTCTTCCCCCTTCTTCTTCTTCTTCTTCTGTCGGTCGTGGGGCTTGAACTCTGAGCCTAGGCACTGTCCCTCAGCTCTTCAGCTCAAGGCTAGCACTCTACCACTTGAACCACAGCACCACTTCTGGATTTCTGGTGGTTTATTGGAGATAAGAGTCTCATGGACTTTCCTGCCCAGGCTAGCTTTGAACCATGATCCTCAGATCTCAGCCTCCTAAGTAGCTAGGATTACAGGCGTGAGTCACCAGCAACCAGTTTTGTTTTCTTCTTTGAGACAGGATCTCACCTATACCTTAAGCTGGCCCTGACCTCAAGATCCTCCACCCTCAGCCTCCTTAGTGCCATCTGCCCAGCTTCTTACAACTTTTTTTTTTTGGTTGATTGTGGGGGCTGAATTCTGGGTCTGGGCACTGTCCTTCAGCTCTTTAGCTCAAGGCTAGCATTCTACCACTGGAGCCACAGCGCCACTTCCAGCTTTTTATGCTTATGTGGTACTGTGGACTTGAACTCAGAACCTCATGCATGCAAGGCAAGCACTCTACCACTGAGCCACCTTCCCAGCTCCACAACTTTTTTTATATAGGTATGAAATTATTTCAAGTGGAAGGTAAAAATATGTATTCTCTCTCTATTCCTACTTTAACTCACCCCTCTTCCCACATCTGTAACTAATATGCATTATTTAACTCATTCCTAATTGGGAGAAATACTTTGTAAAGTTGGGTGCATGTACATATAAGGGGTACTTTGGCAGGAATAAAAGAAGGATGTTAATCTACCTCATTTACTTCTAAACCAATCCCTATACCCCAAAACTCCCATGAGACTCTTATCTCCAATTAACCACTCAAAAAACAGAAGTGGTGCTGGGCTCAAGTGGTAGAGTGCTACCCTTTAGCACAGAGATTCAGAGACAGCACACAAGCCCTGAATCCATGACCCACAACCAACAAAAAAAGAAAAGAAAAGACAAAGAAAGAAAGAAAGAAACAAACTTAAACCCAGGTCTTTAGATGCCAAATAGTTTTCCTTCTCAAAAACCTCAGAAAAAGAACTGGTAAACTGATTTAATGAACAGTTTTGATGACGGAATGAGAGTAACTGAAAAGGAGTTCAAGTTTTGTTTTTAAGTTTCCTTTACTTGGGGCTGGGAAGGTGGCTCAGAGGTAGAGTGCTTGCCTTGCATGCATGAGGTCTTGGG